GCAACACGGCAGTGGCCTTTGCCTAAAGAACAGTGTGACGTCATTGACGAATTCTTTCGTGCTAAGCACGCGGCTGAAATGGTTCGTGAGAGCAAGTCTCCCCATTCAACACCGACATTTTGTGTCAAAAAGCCAAATGGCAAGTGGCGTATTGTGCATGCTTATACTAAGCTCAATGCAGCCACTATACCGGCGCAGACGCCTATTCCTAGAAAGGATGTTCTTCAGAACAACATGGCAGGATGTACATTGTACAGTGCACTCGACTTAGTCGATGGTTACTACCAACTGCTTATGCGAGCAAGCGATATTCCGCTAACAGCGGTGAGTACTCCGAGCGGTATGCTCTGGGAGTGGCCTGTTATGCCACAAGGGCTATCTAACTCCCCGGCTACGTTTAACCGGCTGGTAACGAAACTATTCAGACCTCATCGAGGCTATGCACAAACGTACTTTGATGACATTTTTGTCCATAGTCGTGCAATGAATGGGCGATCAGATGTGGATAACCACATTGATCATTTACGATCGGTGCTCGAGTGCATGCGGACAAATAATTTGTATGCTAACGCATCGAAGTGCATCTTTGGTGCAGAAGAGATTCCCTTTCTAGGGTGCTTCATTGGAAAGCGAGGCCTTCGAGCGGATCCCGCTAAGGTGAAAGCCATAGTCGATTGGCCGGTTCCCAAGAACCAAAAGGACCTGCGTAAGTGGCTTGGCCTTGCCAATTGCTTACATAAGTACAGTGCAAATTACGCAGAAATGGCTCGGCCATTGTCCAATCTCCTAAAAAAGGATGTGGGTTGGTGTTGGGGTAACACCGAACATAATGCTTTTGAAGCAGCTAAGGAGAGTCTCCTTCATGCGCCAATATTGGCTTTTCCCGATTCTGGTCGGCCTTTCAGTGTCGTCTGTGACGCATCTGACTTTGCCATAGGCAGTGCTCTGTTACAAACAGATGTCGACGGACGCGAACGCGTCATCGCATTTGAGTCTCGGCAGCTGAAAGCTGCTGAAAAGAACTATCCTGTTCATGACAAAGAGCTACTTGCTATGAAGTATGCTCTTGTCAAATTCAGAGTCCATCTGCTTGGCTCTAAGCCGTTTGTGATCTATACAGATCATGCGTCATTACGCACTGCGACACAGTCGCCTCATCTCTCACAGAGAATGGCTCGTTGGCTTTCCTTCTTTGCCGAATACAACTTCGAAGTGAAGTACAAGCCAGGTAAGCAAAACGCTTTGGCTGATGCGCTATCGCATCAACCTGACTATGAGCTTGCTCATGTTACGACTCTGTCATCGTCAGTCACTGACTTAATCCGTGCGGAATATGCCAAGGATGATCAGTGTGTAGCTTTGCTACGTGATCTTGGGAGAGATGAGCTTAAAGACTCGGACACAGAATTGTCGGCACGTATACGTGCGAGGACACATCGATATTCCATCGATAATGGCCTGTTGTGCTATCGCACGTATATTGGGGATAACCCTCGTATCGCTGTACCTCATTATAGGATATTTAAGTATTAAATCCTCTATGAGGCACATGATACTGCTTTAAGTGGTCATCTCGGTCGTGATATGACTTATAGCTCGGTGAGCCAAAGTTATTGGTGGCCCAAACTATATAAGTGGGTGAGCACATATGTGCGTACGTGCGAACCGTGTCAACGGGTTAAACCCTCAGCACATGCGGCGGCGCCGCTGGCTAGTTTGCCAGTACCCACTGGTTGTTGGGGATCCATGAGCATGGATTTTGCGTTTGGCCTACCGAAAATTTTGGAAGGCAACACTGGTATTGTGGTCTTTGTTGACCGAATAAGCAAGGTGGCTCACTTAGTGGCTGTGCCGGATAGCATCAATGCTGAAGGTACAGCAAAGCTGTTTATCGACCGTGTGTTTTGCCAACATGGCTTGCCTGTGGCAATTGTCTCTGGTTGAGACCCCCGCAACACTGTAAAGTTTTGGAAGCTTATCTTCAAGGTGCTGGGCACTCGGTTGGACATGTCCACAGCGGATCATCCGCAGACCGACGGTCAAACTGAGCGTGTAAACCGCGTCATCAACGACATTTTGAGCAGTATTTGCGCTGATACGCCTAGGCGTTGGAGCTCAATGCTCCCTGTTGTTGAGTTTGCGTTAAATAACGATGTTCATGCCTCCACAGGCTTTACTCCGTTCTATATAAACGGCCTCACTCACCCTCGCGTTCCTTTAACGCTATCACTACGTGAATCAGGGCTTGGTGGGGGAGAGGTTGCCGATCGGCTTGCTGATATCAGCCCTGCTACTGTTCAAAAACAGGTAAGCGAGTTTCTCGCAACGCGATTAAATGTCTTAAGACATGTGCGTGACGCAATGGCTGATAGCCAAGATACCCAAAAACAACAAGCTGATGCCAAAGGCAGAAATTGTATTGAGCGTTATGAGGCCGGAGACCAAGTACTACTCAATGCTAAAAATCTACCTACAAATGTAGTGTCTGCTGTCTTTAAGACGAAGTTGCGTCCACGCTTTATTGGACCGTTTACGGTCACGGCCAAGAAGGGACTTGCGTATACGCTAAACCTCCCGCGCAATTTGCGCACACATCCATTGTTCTACGCAGGCTTACTTAAGCCGTACCGGGATCCTTTCCATGTGAACTTGGAGGCGCTTGCGCCGACGACAAGGGAACTGCCCCGGATTGCTGTAGGCGAATCAGCAAGTCCAACTGAGCCTCGCTCCGAGTTTGAGCTTGCTCCATCGCCTGAAGGCGGCTTTGCATCGCATCCAGCATGCACTGGGACTTACCCAAGGCCTCTTGAAGATCCTTCACTTCGAGAACCAATTTCTCGTGGGCCTCCACCGGTACACCGGCCACCACCGACTTTGCTCGATGAGCATGGGTGTCGTCAATTTCATGTCGAGAGACTACTGAAACGACGTCGTCGTCAGGGCCAATACCAGTATCTGGTAAAGTAGCGTGGGTACCCTGAGTCTGAAAACTCATGGGAATTTGAGGTACCCCTTCGGCAAGACTGCCCATACGCTTTGGAGGCTTTTGAGCATCGTGGCCATGGTCATCTCGAGGCCGAGGCCGTTCCCCGCCACTAGTGGTGCGGGTTGGCGGGTTGTTGGCCACAGACTGACCAGCACTCGCGGCTACCTTAGTAGCCGAAGCGTAGCGCGTGCGCTTGCGCAATTGGCCTCTGGCCTTAATATTGGCATAATCATACCGAAGCTTGCGTTCAAGACGCACGTCAGCCACACTGGCACTAGCCCTTAGAGCAAAAATTTTGCTGAGGCGACGCACATAGTGCATTCAGTGAAAAAAAGGCATCGTCTTCTTCGCTCACTGTTTCGCCTGCGAACAAGAGAATGGGTATACCCTTGATCGGTGGAACCGGTACACCACGTGCTTGCATGTCAAGGCGTGCCTTGTATTGACTTTGAGTCGTTTGGTGCGGCTCCAGGTACCTCTCACGAAGTGCCTGGCAGCTCACCACCTCCTCAGGAGTCTTAGGCCCATGGTCTATGACCCACGTTGCCAATGTTTGGCCGGCCGCTTGACGTAGAAGTTCCTCCACACTGGGTGGGGTGAACACATAGTCACGCTGGCGTTCAAGGGTTACAGCCATTTGTACATAACGCTGAGCGTTTTCTTCTCTTTGAACAAGCAGTTGTTGTTGCTCATCGAGCGGGTTCGTGATGATAGTCTCATCAGACCCAGATGCTGCATGCTGCGCTGGTGGCGCGCTCGCACCTCCACGTTCAGCGAACGGATTTGGGGTGTTCGAAAGTTGTGCCTCAGGCATCAGTGAGCCGGACGTTGTCCCTGTATCACCGCGGAAACTGGTATCGCTACCATAGTCCACCTCCTCCTCTATCCCGAGGTAGTCACACAGAGCCTTTGACTCGTTTAGTGATGAGGACATCGTGCTGGAGCGTACGTTACCGTGAGGTTCACCGTACGCGCACTGTTCTCGCTGAGAACACAAGTTCGATTGACGTTTTGGCAAACGTCATTCTGGTGGGGGAGGGTGTAACGGGGTTGCACGAAATTATGGTACGTTGTACCAGAGGTGTTACACACCTGAGGTTACCCCTCTGTGAAGGTGACATATAATTTCTTATTGGTTTGTAGGGGCTGACGAGTGTCAGCCATTAGGTATGAAAGATCTTTGAGTAGGATTAAGATATTCTATAGGCTTTAACAAAAATAAAATCAGTTCCCATTTTGATCGGAAGGACACGTGGCTTGGGAGCCGTCTTGATCGTTGATCACTGATCACTAAGAGCTAGTGACACCTCCTCGAGGTAGCTACTCTTGAGCACTGAGTGCTGTCGATTCACTGAATCGTTAGGTCCCCCTGGAACAGGGATCTGAAGCTGTAAAGCTTGTTGACTCGTAAACAAGTCCTTAGTTCTTTGGAACTAAGTTGCTCGTAGAGCGTTAAGCCTTCCTCTGACTTAAGGAGCTGTGTAGCTCCGCTACACCTGCGCTATCTATTTACCGCAGCACAACCAGGCGACTTCAGCTGACCTAACTTGTGGTGCCTTTGACGCGACAAGCACATCTTCAGCAGGCTTTTGCACTATATCGTTCCCGATTCCTCACCTCGGGACCCAAGTAGTCGCGTCAAGCTTACGCAATGTCATATTGCGACCGAGGTGTCTATGTCACAGAAGATATCAACAAACTCGTTGCAATACAAAAGCTCTATGGCAACACATTATTACACTCGCATTTAACAAACTCTATAAGCGGCAAAGATTGCTACGCAAGGTACATCATGTGAACGCAACAGCCGCTCCGTCAGTATGTTGACTGAGAGATCGTGTTTTATTGAAGCCATTCGCTCGATCACTCTTGGAACAAATCACATCAGGCGACAGAGCGGGCTTTCTAAATTAATACATGGTGTGGCGAACACACCCGAACTACTATCACTGACCACCACCACCACCAGCGCTACCTATTAACTACGGCTGCCTGTAAGCGAGATTCTGGTGCTATGGCAGCACCCGAGCTCACGAGTACGCGTCTCTATGTCCAGAACCTCCCGTCCTACGTGGACTCTGCGCGTCTGCGTGATCACTTTTCCGCTCAGGGAGACGTGACCGATGCCTGTGTGATCCGCACCAAGGACGGCAGCAAGTCTCGACGTTTCGGGTTCGTGGGCTTCAAGAGCGACAAAATGGCGGAGCAGGCGCGCAAGTTTTTCCATCAGAGCTTCTTTGATACGTGCAAGATCAACGTCTCGGTGGCGCTGTCGGTACGAGTACCAGGACTTTTTTACTGCTATAATATGTCAAGTGAGCTGTATTTTGTGCTCACAGAGCCATTGAGACTGACTTTTGCTCGTTGTGATGTGGTGTGTGTTCATGGGCGGCTTTGTGGTGTGTTTGAGTAGCGGGAATCGGAAGAGATGGATCGGCCCTGGAGCAAATACTCGACTGGGAGTGGTCGGTACCATCAGCTCCATCCAGATTCGGGAGTTGTCGCAACTTCTTGTGAAGTGAATGAGCCTCTTTCTGACAAGAAGGAGAAGAAGACTGGAAAGAAGGGGGAAGCAAGTGGAGAGTTTCAGGAGTTTATGGAAACGATGCAGGCTCGATCGAAGACCAAGTTCTGGGCCAATGATGACGTCCAAGGACCAGTGAATGAGAAGACAGGATCAAAAGGTGTGAACTTGGCTGAGGCGGAAGACAGTGATGATGAGTATCAGGATCTTGAACAAATGAAACCCGGTGAGGGCGGAAAAGACAAGGATTGTTTTGAGGAGGAGAACGAGACTGATACAGGCTTGTCGGATATGGACTTCTTGCGGTCGAAGGTGAGCAACAACATTGATAAGGACGACGCTATTGCAGACGGTGACGAAAAAAGGATAGACGGACGAGGCAAAAGAAGTGGCGATAAGACTTTGAATGACGGTGAAAGCGCGGTGTGTGGTGATGCGGAAGGCGGAACTGAAGATGATAGTAAGCCTAGTGCCCGTTTGTTTGTACGAAACCTGTCTTTTACGGCGGTAGAAGAGGACCTGGAGGCGTTGTGTACAGCATATGGTCCGGTAGAAGAAGTACATATGCCACTAGATGAGACACGTCGGCGCAAGGGCTACGGCTTCGTTCGTTTCCGCACGACATTTGACGCTCAAACTGCACGCACAGCTATGAATGGTCTGGCGTTCCAGGGTCGCCGCCTGCACGTCATCTCCGCGCGCTCGAAGCCCGTCAAGCTTGATCCCGAGGTGGCTCTTGCTGACCCGAACTTGACGTACAAGCAACGAAAGGAGTTGGAGCGCCAGATTCAATCTCAAAAGAAGACGGGCTGGAACGCGTCTTACATCCGGGGAGATGCGGCTGTTGGCTCGCTGGCTGAGCGCATGGGCGTGAAGCGTGGTGAAATTATGGATAAAGAGCAGGGCAACATGGCCGTGCGTTTAGCTATCGGCGAGACCATGTTGGTGAAAGAGAACAAAGACTTCTTTGCACGAGAAGGGCTGGACTTGAATGCTATTGAAGGTGCACTTGTAAAGAAGCCAAGCCAGCAGCAGTCCGCGAAAATTGAGCGGAGCGCAACTGTCATTCTGATCAAAAATCTGCCTCATACCGCTGAGGAAGAAGAATTGGCACAGCTTTTCCGAAAGCACGGGGAGATCAGTCGCTTCCTTCTGCCGCCATCAAAGACGCTAGCTGTTGTCGAGTTTCTGGAGCCCTCGGAAGCACGAAAGGCCTTTCGTTCACTCGCCTACAAGAAGTACCAGCACGTGCCACTTTACTTGGAGTGGGCTCCGGTGAAAGTGTTTGATCGCTCTGCTGCTATTTCTTCGAGTACCCAAACCTCTGGATCCGAATCGAAAGGTATCAAAACTACGTCAGCTGTTGTGCCAGACATCGAAGAGGACAGTGATACCGCTGTGGGCGATGCATGTCATACTGTTTGTGTGAAAAACTTGAACTTCGTAACACAGGAGGCCGCTTTGGAAAAGGTTTTCGCGCGCTGTGGTAAGTTGCGCAAGGTCACCGTCGCTCGCCGGAAAGACCCGAAGCGTGGCATGCTGTCGATGGGTTTCGGATTCGTGGAGTACGTCGATGCCAAGCACACGGAGCGCGCGCTGCAAACACTGCAGAACACTGTGGTCGATGGCCATGCGCTGAATTTGAAGCTTTCTCAGAAAAAGGCATCGACTGCTCCAAAGCCTGGTGCTGGGGAAGGTGAGGCTGAAGGTCGCAAATCAAAGATCATTGTCCGCAACGTCGCGTTTGAGGCAACGAGCAACGAAATCCGTGAGCTCTTTGGTGCGTTTGGACAGCTAAAACGTGTACGGATGCCAAAGAAGTTTGACGGCAGGCATCGTGGATTTGCGTTCGTGGAATTCCTCACCGAGCAGGAGGCCCGGAATGCTTTTTCGGCCCTTGCCAGCTCACACTTGTACGGTCGGCATCTTGTTCTCGAGTGGGCGGAAGATGCAGACGATATGGACACTTTGCGTGCCAAGGCCACCAGGGACTTGACAGCTATCAACGACAGTGATCGCCGTAAGCGCGTGAAGCGACCGAAAGAGGATGAGGATGACATGGATTTCTGATAGAGAAACGAGCGGCATAGGATTAAGAACAGCAAATATCGCATACTCCTCACATGACACTGGGTTCGGATTCAGCTATTTTTGATAGATTTGTCACGGCACAACATCGTCGTCCGAGTAGATTATAAGCGGCTACTCCGTGGGCGAGCAACACCAGCTTCCTGCTGGACCAGCTCCAGCTTTTTGTGCGTGAACTTTAGCGGACGGTCGTTCTTAGCACCCGAGAATTGCGAGACAGTGTGACCGCTTTCTGATACAAGTTTCCACTTTGTCGTCAACAAACCTTCCACGCCGACAGGACCACGAGCGTGAATGCGACCCGTGCTGATGCCGACCTCGGCTCCCAATCCGAACCGGTAGCCGTCAGCAAAGCGAGTGCTGGCGTTATGGAAGACGCACGCACTGTCGATCAGCTGCAGGAACTGCCTTGCAGCAGCAGCATCTTCTGTCACAATGCACTCAGTGTGGCCACTGTTGTGCAAGTTGATGTGCGAAATAGCAGCGTCGATGCCGTTGACAACTTCGATAGTAATGTCCTTTGTACCATACTCCGTAGAGAGCGAATGGGTTGGACGTGACTTCACGGTGGCAACACCCAGTTTGGCTGCGTTAGGCGCAATGTGCAGGTTGATCTCAGCTTCCTCCATCTTTTCCATAATGTTCTTCACGTGTCCACTAGTTACGAGCGCTTCATCAACCAGGAGCGTCTCGAGGGCATTGCAGGCAGCAGGGTAGTCCGCCTTGGCATCGATAGCGAGATCAACCGCCTTCTTCACGTCGGCCGCACCGTGGATATACATATGGCAAACGCCCTCGGCGTGGCCAAGGACAGGAATGCGCGTGTTTTTCTTGATGTGACTCACCATGGACCCTGAGCCGCGTGGGATACACAAGTCGATCACATCGTCCAGACACAAAAGGTCAGCGATTTCCTCGCGCGAAGTGACGAGTCCGACGACGTCTTTCTTCACTTTGCCGTGCGTGGTCTCCTCCACGGCGTTCACAATGATCCGGTGTAGAACAGCGTTGCTGTGGCGAGCTTCCTTTCCACCTTTTAGCAACAGACCATTGCCACTGCGCAAAGCAAGGGCAGCGATCTGCGGTAGCGAGTCGGGGCGGCTCTCAAAAATGACAAGCAGCACGCCAATCGACGCAGTCTCCTGATGCAAGACGAGTCCAGACGCCAGCTCGGTGCGTTTCAGCATCCGTCCAATGGGCTCGTCTGCTTCCGCGATGCTGCGGATCCCATCCGCCAGAATCTTTAGTTTCTCCTCCGAGAGCTTCAACCGCGCCACGAGCCCTTCATCCGTCGCCGCTTTCTGTGCTGCAACCAAATCTTTTCGGTTCGCCTGCAAGATCACAGTCGTATTGTGCTCCAGCTCATGCGCGATACGAAACAAAATGTCCGCGCGCTCAGCCGACGACAGCGCCTGCAGCTGATGGCAGCCTTCCCGCGCTGCATTCGCCATCTCTTCAGCCGACATGGACTCTGGCGACGCGACGCCTGGATTCGCCACAAACAGCGTGCCGAGACTCGCGCCTTTCATGATTGACCCCACGACGCCGTAGCGGAAGCCGCTAGCAATCACCACTGCGTTCACGCCTTGCGCAATCGCCTTCTGTGCTGCTTGGATTTTGGCGCCCATGCCGCCTCGTCCGACACTCGACTTGTCCCCGATACAAAAGTTCACATGTTCCGGTCGGAACACGGAAATCACGCGCGCACCGGGTTCACTCGGCGGCTTTGTAAACAGTCCGTCCACGTCTGTCAACAGCAAGAGCAAGTCCGCGTCAATCTCACCGCCTACTAACGCCGCGAGCGAGTCGTTGTCGGTAAAGACGGTCCCGTCGGGCGACGCGCTCACGGCGTCGTTCTCGTTCACGATCGGGACGACGTCCAGCTCGAGCAGATTGAGCATCGTGTCGCGCATGTTGGCGCGGTTCTGCGCCGTCTTAAAGTCCGAGGCCGTGACGAGCACCTGCGAGCACGCGACGTCGTAGAGCGAGAAGAGCGTCTCGTAGAGCGACATGAGTCCGATCTGACCGGCTGCAGCCATCGCGCCTTGTTTCTTCTCGAGCGCGAGCATCTGCTGGTTGCCCTGGACGTGGGTGCGCAGCGAGGCCGAGAGCAGGATCTGCTTGTTCAGCCGCTTGCGGCCGATACCGACGGCGCCGCTCGTGACGAGCAGCACTTCTTTGCCTTGGCGCTTGAGCACGCACACTTGCTCGACGACGGAAGCGATGCGGCCGAGCGCGGGCTCGCCGTTCGTGGACACGACGCTCGTGCCCATCTTGACGACGATGCGCGTCGCGTGTTTGAGGTCCTGCCGCGTGAGCGGGCGCTCGCCGGCGTGGCCGCCAAACGTGTGCGAGTGCGTCAGGGTTTCCTTTCGCATGATCAGGACGACACGTGACGTCGGAGTGTTGGTGATCAATGGAAGAGTGAATGCGAGTGCGCACGAGTCGGCAAATTGGGAAATGAAGAGAGAGAGGATCGACGAATGTTGATTCGAGGATCGGTCGATAGAAAAACGAAGGTTAACGGACGATGGGTGGATTGACTGATGAAGGCAACGTCGATGCTGATTGGCTGCGGGAGGTGGGTCAGCGCGGTAGTCGACCTCGTTGCTGGCTGCGACATGTGCGTATGCAAACGATGCATCAGATATCAAGCCAGGCTACTCTTCAGAGGTTGTAAGAATGTACCGCTACTATTCTCGATTGCAGTGATCTCTTCCCTGTTTTGATATGCGCAAGGTCATGCAGAGGTTGAACTTTATCGTGTCGTAGACGTCGTGGTCGTGGATGTTGCATCGTCGCATCCTGTCGTGGCCGCGCCGCATTTGTTGCTACTGCGCAAGTGGTGAACAGAACTCGTGTTGGGTGCAAACAGTTGGCCTAAAGGAGGGTAAACTGATTCGAGGTGCCATTGCGCAATGTGCTGATACACACAGATGCGTGCTAATCAGAGCAAAGTGGCTGTGTTGCTAGCCCGTGCGAAAGGAAAAATGGTGCAAAGACCGCAGCTAACAACATGCATATCCTTGACTAATAATGTGGTGATATCAGGTATAGTGCGATGACGGACTCGACACCGGTACAGCTAAGGAGCGCTGCAATGGCAGGCAGTGCGTCTTGCACATCTGTAAACCCGACCTTTTGTTAACACAGTGTTCACACTTGCAACAGGGAACATCGAAAGCTGGAGCTAATGTCATGCTATTTGCTTCCATTGAGTCTATGGAATAGCACGCTGGACACCAGCAAAAAAGGTCGCGACATAGACGGCCTAATTGAGAACTGAACCGTAGATAAGGCGACAGCTTTATGGACTCTCCTCCTGTCACCTCATTAGTTCTGTAAGGATTCTTTGGCTAGTAGCATCCAGTCAAGCAGAAGTCGCAACATATATGTGCGCACATGAACATCGTGTCAGAGCGTCGTCTTACAGGTGCGCCGCTGTCATATCTGTGTGTGTGAGCAACGGTGCTTCACATATGACGCACCTTGTGTTCCACTCAAAACTCCGTCGTACAGCTCTGTACCGGGTAGTTGGACGAGTAAGTGATGCCAGTCTTTTGACCCTGCGGCAACTAGAGAATGAACTTTGTAGCTGCATTCAGTACAGTTCGAAAGTATTCCGTAATGCTGTCAATACAAGCGAAAGATGAGCTCATTTGGAAAGGAAGGACTAGCTCCAAGCTTTGGGGTCAATTACCTCCGCCACAACACATAGCAGATCCATCTATGCAGGCGGCTCGCAGTCTTTAATGGTCTCATGTCCACACGTCATTCGACGCACGAAGGTACAGCCAAGAGGAGGCTTGCTTTATTTTTGAATTTCGGACACAATTAGAATTAGTACGCGAGCTGGCACTAGCCGTGCTAAAAACTGGCTCAGGATCCAGGAAGGTCTTTATTACCATGCCAGCAAATATAGAGTCGCTCTCACGGTCTGATATATACAAATCTGTGCTCATTGCAATCATCCCTCGTTGTGTTTGCGTCTGCCGCGCGCTTGATGCTCCAGTCTTTGCTCGATGTCTGCTGTACACATTTTTACAGCCGTCTGGTGATGAAACCGTTTGAATTTGACTGTGAGTCAAGGTAGAGTAACACGATACTGCTTTACTCGCTTTGACAGATATTCTTAGAGTAGTTGGTCTCAGACATACCAATGTATTTTGACAATTTGCTCCGTTTGCATAGCGAACGAGCTTTCCAGTATTGTCGACATCGTTGTGGAAGGCAACGCGTCTACTATAATAGCTGAACGCACCTACACTACTTTGCGCTGCAAAGCGCATGAGACTATTGCTGCGACCGCAACTGCGAGCTTGCGCTGATACGACAATGTAGATCCGAAGTGAAGTTAAGTAGCATCTTTAGAAGAAATATACCCTCAGATCGGTGATGCGCGGATACACGCCCATAATCCAGGTGCCAGATCTCTTGAAGCAGGTGAATATCCGAATGGAAAAGGGCGGTCGGTGCTTTACCGACGCTCTTACCTTTTACGATCTCTCTCAGACATTAAAATGATAGTACAAATACGGTCGTACAATATTACATCTACGCCGTCAAAAAGTATTTGGTCAAAGGCAAACGCGCATTCTATTGGCCAAGCACTTATTTCAGTAAGAAATATTCACGACATCAAACCTATATGCGAGGTCCAGTCGTAGCGAGCCTCAGCCCGCATAATCGCCAGCCAACCACTTTGCCGGTCAAACGTGCGCTCCGCCTCAGTTCTCCTTTTTGTCTCGATTAAAGTAGCCAAGTATGCCTCGTGGTCCGCGTAAACACCTGAAGCGCCTGAGCGCGCCCAAGCACTGGATGCTCGGCAAGCTCGATGGCATCTGGGCGCCGCGTCCGTCGTCGGGTCCGCACAAGCTTCGCGAGTGTCTTCCGCTCATCATCATCCTGCGTAACCGTCTCAAGTACGCGCTGACGAAGCAGGAGGTGACGATGATCTGCATGCAGAAGAGCGTCAAGGTCGACGGCAAGGTCCGCGTGGACCCGGACTTCCCTGCTGGTTTCATGGATGTGGTGGAGCTGCCAAAGACGGGCGACCAGTTCCGTCTGTTGTACGACACGAAGGGCCGTTTCGTGCTTCACCGGGTCTCGGATGAGGAGAAGAAGTACAAGCTTGCCAAGGTAATTCGTCAGGAGTACACGAAGAAGGCCATTCCGTACATCGCCACCAACGATGGTCGTACGATCCGGTACCCGGACCCAGTCATCAAGGTCGGTGACACGGTCAAGATTGATCTGGAGACGGGCAAGGTCGTTGACCACATCAAGTTCGAGGTTGGCAACTTGGTGACGATCACTCGTGGACGAAACTCTGGCCGTGTTGGCATCTTGCACCACATTGAGAGGTAGGAACACACCTTCTGGACTCATTGCGAGCTGGGTGTGGTGGTAGCCGCTGGTTACATCATGTTGTTCTTATTATTGTGTGGAGAAGGATGACATCCTTCCTAGCCGGTGACTTTGTGCATTTACTTACATACCGCTATGGTTTTCTACCTGCTTGTACTTTACAGACACCAGGGTTCGTTCAACATTGCTCACGTCAAGGACTCGGCAGGTAACGACTTTGCCACTCGTCTTGGCAATGTGTTTGTCGTCGGCAAGGAGTCCCGCCCGTGGGTGTCTCTGCCAAGGGGCAAGGGTATTAAGCTGAACATTCTGGAGCAGCGTGAGCTGAAGGAGAAGCGGGCTAACAACTAGAAGCGCTTCTAGTCGACATGCTGTTGCTGGATGAGGTTGGCTTGAATGGTTGCTGTGATTCTGGAAAAGAATCGCGCACCAATAGGTCACTTAGCTTGCCAGTCGTGGATCTAGCAGTAAGAGGAGAACTAATGAACGAGTAAGACATGAAATCGGAATCACGTTTTTACTCATTTGGTTGGTGAAACCTTCCTTGCCGCTTTCGGGTCGACTAAACGAGGATGACAGTCGTACAGACGCCATGTCACTGTGTGTCATTTGCAGTGTGTGTGTGTTGGCTTTATTTGATGTAGTCCACACTAAATCGATCCGTTAGCGGCCATAACCGTCGAATGGCTCAAGCAAGCGTCGTCAGAAACCGAGTGAGAGGATGGAGGTAAAGGTAGTCGAAGACCCACGCCACGTTGACGAGCTTCCACGAGTGCAAGGCAAGACGAAGAAGCTCCTGGCAGGTGCGCTCTCTGGTATGATCTCCGCGCTGGCTTTCCAGCCTCTGGATGTTCTACGCACGCACCAACAAGGCGCGTTCACGGCCCCCGTCGAGCCTTTGGAAACGTCTAGAGCTTTGTATCACGTGACACCGCCCCGTACGAGCAAGACCTCACAAACTTCCTCTGATACGGTAACGAGAATGCGCGCAATGTGGCGTGGCACATCCCCAACACTCGTGCGCGTAGCCGGCGGCGCGGGTCTCTACTTTGCCACTCTGGACTACTGTTTGAACGTGTTCCCGAGCTCTGCAGTCAATACGTTTCTCGCTGGAGCTGCTGCTCGTACGTTTGCAGGAAGCGTCATGTCACCCTTTACTATTGTGAAGGCGCGGATGGAGTTTTTGCCCTCGGGCGCCTTTCATGGCAGCTGGCAGGTGGTGCGTCACGTGCTCCATCATGAAGGCGTACGTGGACTCTACCGTGGCATGGTGCCAACACTCATTCGAGATGTACCGTTCTCTGGACTCTATGTGCTGCTTTATACGAGGCTGCGAGACTCGTGGACAGTCAAGTTTTCGCAGTTCCCATTGTATGCTGTGCACTTTAGTAGCGGTGTGGCCGCGGGCGTGCTGGCCACGTCGATCGTCCATCCGGCCGATGTGGTAAAGACACGTATGCAACTAGGCATTACAGTGATGGATAGTGGAGGAGGCGTTGCCTCGCTGCCGAACTCGCTCACGTTGCGCCAAACAGTAGCCAAGATGTACCACCACGAAGGCCTGCGTGGCTTTACGAAGGGCATCGTTCCACGCGTAATTAAGCGCACGCTTTCCACTGCAGTGACATGGACGATCTATGAGCACTTATCGTGAGGTAACTTGAATCGGGCGCAGCGCGCGTGACTGAGAGAGGATCATTTGAACGATTTGATGGACGTAACCGAGATGCTGGAAACTAATCTGCTCGCGATCCTTGTGGTGGGCACGCACTGAAAATGGTACAAGAGGGATCGGACACACTATTGATATTGCCAGAAACGCAGCAGTGATGTTTCTTCGAAGCTACGTGCAGCCATAGAGACTATCGCGTGATTATTGGTGTAAATGCAGCAAAGGGCTCGCTACCACTACCGCCGGTTCGCGGCGCGCTGCCGCCAGTTGAGCCGCCGCTGCTTTCATCGTCGTCATGGTCATTCGTATCGTTGTCACCATTAAGCCTTGGCAAAGAGCTGCCGTTGTTGACTTTGAAATAATGACTGCCGTTATACCCGTTGGCCTGGTTGCGATGGTCATGAAAAGCTGATGCTGGCGCTGCCACATGCTCGTATCCCTGCATGAGGCTGCTGGCACCTTGTTGCATGTCAGGTAAGTTGTTCGCGTGCTCAGTGTCAATGTGTCCCAGCGCACGTATACCCTTTTGCATGCGCCGTCTTTGGGTAAGTTCCATCTCAGCCTCGAGGTCGATCACTGCAACACCCTCAGACATACCTTCCGCACCAGGCTCACGCAACGAAGCAGTTTCCGGATCAAACATCAACGGAATTGATCCCAAAGTACCGTCAAAACGGTTTTTTCGCACATCGAGCGTGGACTTGCCGTGGGTGCGTTGTAGGATAAGAACATTATCAGCTTCCTGAGTGGCCTTCGCCGTACCAAACACGGATGACAGCGTAAGGTCTTGATCCTCCTGCTCCTTGCGCGGGTGAATGACAAGCGTAAGGTGGACGTTCTTGACTGAAGCGAACTTTCGGAACCTGTCTAGTGCTGCATCCTGACGCTCAAATTTGTCGAAACCGCGACCTTGCCCCGCCATCATAAACTGCACATTGTCCAACAGGATATGCTGCACATCATGAGCATACACAGCGTATTCCATAGCATCCAATACCTCATCCACATCGGTGCTTCCAAAGAATCGCAAGAAGTACATAGAGAGAGCCTCAAATCGATCAGCTGCAGCATCAAACGCATTCATGTCACCACACAAGTTGCGTTGTGCCAGCTGCGTGAGCATCTTGTGCATCAGACGTGTGTTCTTGATCTCAAACGAGCCCCATAGCGTACTCACACCCTGACCACACAAGTCCAGCGACAATTGACTCAACAGCGTTGTCTTGCCACATCCGGTAGGACCTGTAAGCACCGTCACTTCGCCCATACGATGACCCTTCATCAATCGGTTCAGTGAAGGGAATGCTCGCGACTGCACACCGCAGGCTTTCAAGGGATTCATAATCTCCTCATAGACGTCACGGCGAAGCTCCTCAAACGTGGTGATTTGGCTGTGCGGTATCGGTTCAGCAGCCTTTACAATAGCAGTCAGGTCTAAACCGGCTCGAAGAGCATCGTTCGCGTCCTTCAAATCCGACGACGCCGCTTTCGAAGGAATGCGTACAATATAGGAGCGATTCAAACCAAGCTTTGCCGCGAACTTTTCAACATTCGATTGCCCTGAGGCATCGTTATCCAACCAAAGGTAAATGCGCTTGAAGCGCTCTAGTAAAGGCAATACGCTCGGTGGTAGCGACTGGCAGCCGTTTGGCAGCGACACTGCAGCCATGCCAGTTGCTTGGTACACAGCCATGGCGTCGAACTCACCTTCAGTCAGCACCAGCTCGTTCGCAGCTGCGGGTACCGTGTTCCAACCAAAGAGACCCCAACTACCTCCTTTCGGCACAAGCTGTTGCTTTGCTTTATCGTCCACTGCACGTAGTTTAAGCCGAACCACGTCAAACAAGTTCTTGTCCTCAGTCGCTGCTTTCTTCTTGTCTACCCCTTCGTGACAGACGACACCCATTGCATCCATATCCATTTGCCGCGCCATCCACGGAAAAGAGATGCACATGGCATTGATGCGTCGACCCGAGTCGTGGTCCCAGAACGGCTGCTCGATTGCACCCACACAGTATTTCTGCAACACATCCGGTCGGAGTCCTCGAACGTTTGTCAAGTATTCCAGCACTGGTTCAAACTCGGGTTCGTCCAGCAGATTCTTCTGGATTGCCATGGCTTTCTCATTGTCTAAAACCTGAATGATCTTCACTTCCACTCCAGCTCCCACTGCTCCAGCATTGCTCCCTCCATTCAAATAACCACCTGAAGAAGTCACACCTACACCGCCTCGCAACTTGCGTTTAAAGTCAAACCAACTGCCTGCGGAGCCGCAGCGATGGCATTTGTACATGCCCTGAGTCTTGTGCACGTACATCTTGAAGAGGTTGTCCGCCTTGCCATGTGTCGCATGACAGAAAGGACAGTCGCGCACCATAAAGTGCGTTTCGGTCTCACGTAACGTCAAACGTTTGCGGTGCAAGAAATCGGCCACGTCCTTGGGGTTCTGCATCTGGTAATGGCGCGATACAAACGCGTCAGTCGCCAATTCTCTGCTCCGAATTCGAAAGAAAGAAACGTGAGCAGTCGTAGAGGCTTGTGCATTGCGCGAGCGCTGCAGTAAGCGGCCTCTAGCTACGAGAGCGCGCATACTCTAGACCCTCCTGAGCTGCTGCTGAGCTGTCCGCGGACAACCTGTCGTTCTTGATAGGTTTTCATCAACTCGGTTGTGTTTGACTTGTCGAGGCTATTCAGCTTTTCACAGGATAATGGTTTAAGCAGGGTATTTGTTTTGACTGCCACAGTGACAAGAATGTAATGCGGCGGAAATGATTGGCTGCGAGAAAACGTGAAAGTCAAAGGTCAAGTGGTACTATGAGTGGCGTGTCCGTCGTGCGTTACTCGTTGACCCCGTCGGCGTCTGGAGGCAGCTCAATGCCTTCAAAGAAGAGACGCAAAAAGCGCTCGAGTGCTGCTGATTCAAGCACGTCCATGGCGTCAAGTACTGGGTGGGCGAAATTGGACATTGGAGAGATGCAGCTTGAAGGATTCCGAGATGGGTGTGCGTTTGAGCTGGAAGAGCTTACGGATTACCATGTGGAGGCAACAGCAGACGGTGGGAAGATGCTGGTAGGAGATCGAAAGCGACGACAAGAGCAGAGCAACGAGACACAAAAGAGACGCAAAAAGCCAAAGCCTCAAGTTTACACGCCGCCGAATGAGGAGAAAGGTGGTGACATGAGTATGGAAAACAAGAAGAAGCAGCAAGGGGTGATGACGCAAGAGATGGGCAAGCAGCAGGAGCAGAGGCACGAAAATGGGAAGCAAGTCGTGAGTGTGAGCACGAACATGAAAAAGAAAAGCCGTGGCGGGAAAGCAAGAACGCAGGAGGATCAGGTGAAGACGGTTGCGCTGGAGGACGTCAAATTGCCCAAATGGAACCAGTATAGGTTACATCCACTACTGATGCAGTCGTTGCAAACGTGTGGCTTTGTAGCTCCGACGCGTATTCAAGAGCGGACCCTAGGTCCAGCGTTAGTAGATAATCGTGATGTAGTGGGTGCAGCGCCTACAGGTTCTGGCAAGACGCTGGCTTTTGGACTTCCCATCTTGAACCAGCTGTTATATGAGCGTGAGCAAGCAGGATACACTAAGGACTGCAAGGCGCTGATCTTGACACCAACGCGAGAACTTGCGATTCAAATCCACCAACACCTGGAAAAGATGGTGCGTCACCGTGAGATTGGAGTGGTGACTCTAGTGGGTGGTATGGCTGTGCAAAAGCAAAAGAGAATGCTTAGCTATCGACCAGAAATTGTGATTGGCACGCCCGGTCGCCTGTGGGATATCATCGAAGCCGACCACGAGCACTTGAAAGAGTTAGCAACGACGCTGCGCTTCTTAGTAGTAGATGAGGCAGATCGTATGCTCCAACCTGGGTCGTACCCAGAGCTTCACAAGATCTTTGAAGTGTTACGACGAAAGAAGTCTACTGCGGATTCAGGTCTCTCAAACCTTTCGGATAATGAGGAGGAAGGAGGTGATGACAATGAGGTTGACGCGAACGACGAGGGTAGTGATGGAGAAGATCACGACGACGATATCGACATGTCCAAGTTCACGGGTGGCTCGAAGGTCATGATGCTTGACGACGTTCTCAAGCTACATCGTAAAGAGCACGAAAGTGAAAAACAGGAAAAGAGAGATACTACTAAGGACAGGTCGACGACTGCTACGGCACTAGCTTCAGCTGATCTGACTTTGTCTCCCCGCCACGTCCGTCAAACGTTCCTGTTCTCTGCGACTTTGATGATTTCGGAAGGATGCCGCTTCCAAAAAAGCAAGACGAAGACGTATCGCAACGCATTGAGCGTTTTGGAGCGCGTCATAAAGCGTGTTGGTCTTCGTGGAAAGCCTGCTGTTGTCGACCTCAGTGTGGCAGAGACTGCAGTGGACATACCCGGCGTCAAGCCGATTGTTTCAGCAGAACATGAACGAAAGCTGGAGAGAAAGCAAGGGAATGTGACGTCATCGTTGCCTGCAGGTCTGGAACTTTGCCAGCACGAAGTGACTGAGTCTACTCGAGACAGCTTTCTGTACTACTTCCTCACACAGTATCCGGGTCGGACCATCATCTTTCTGAACGCTATTCACCAGGTACGGAAGCTTGCCGGTCTGTTGACCCTGCTGGGTCTCCCGGTGTTTGCCTTGCATGCTGAGATGCAACAACGCCAGCGATTGAAGAAGCTGGATGGTTTTCGTGGTCATGCTAAGGGCATTTTAGTAGCGACTGATGTTGCTGCTCGTGGTCTGGACATTCCTAGCGTGGACTACGTCGTGCACTACCATATCGCGCGATCCACGGAAATTTTTGTTCATCGTAGTGGTCGAACTGCCCGTGCGAACAAAGAAGGTCTTAGCATCGCTTTAGTGTCGCCTGTAGATGCGAAATACCACGTCCAAATCTGCAAGATGTTGCAGCGACCAACTGGGTTATCAGATTTTCCATTCGACCACCGGTTCATGGGAGCGATTGACGAGCGCATGCGTCTTGCCAAGAGTATCAACGAACAGGAGAACACCGCAGGAAAGCTCAAGTCGGAGGTGACTTGGTTTGAGCAAATGGCGTCAGCTGCTGACTTGGACATGGACGACAATTTGCTGTTTGAATTGGGTGCCAAGCAGCGAAACCAAGACGGTAAGAGGAAGACCACCATGAATCAGTCGGTGCAGTCGCTTCGCGCTCAGCTCAGCCGTTTGCTCAGAGTTCCGCTGTGTCCTGTTGGATCTGCTCGAAAATTCCGCCAGCTGCATCAGGAAATCGGTTCTCAAATCGGTGGTGATGGCGAATACTGCACTCGTGATGCCAACGCGGATCTTGCATCAAAGAGTAAGAAGTCGTACAAGCGCTTTCGCCGGAGGAAGTGAGTGTAGATAGGTTTGCTGACCGTTCTGCTCCGTTTGAACCGATCGGGATGAAACGCGGAGGAAGCTACATCTTTGACCATGTTGCGCCGAGGTCGCAATCGTTACGTAAACACCGGGTAACACGAATGTGTACACGTATGAATGCATGGATGTATGCATTCATGTAGACATTAGGCCTTGAATATTCAGCTACTCATAGCTACTATACTCCGCGCCAGGTAATATCGTACACCCATATTTTATTCACTGCTCAGTCGGTTTTACGAGTTAACATGTGCTATTTAGATATGTGGTGTATTCTATTGGTAGAGACACTCGATGTGTGTTAACGATCACGATTTCGTACACTTCAAGGGACCTCACATACAAATAACTACTTCGGCCACTGCGACAAGTAAAATTGTGTATATTGGCAAACAACTTGAAGTGTCATAAAATAGCATGATTGTATCATTGGACAAATATCAGCAAGCACATACAGTTCGGAACCACGACAACAACGACAATCAGCGACAAGAGTGGCAACAAGAAGCCGCGACTTGCTGGTACAGAGCGAATAGATACCAGCAAGTCGCGGCAACAAGAAGCCGCGACTTGCTGGTAACTATTCGTTCTGTACATTGCATACTGGCCGAGGGTGACTGGCTTGTATACACTACGATATCGAACACGTTACCACTCAAGGTCGCAAGGTTTACTGCGCGCGAAACCAAGGCTAAGGACATGCTGTTGCGGGTGGATGCCGGGACCATGTGGAGTTTGATCAGAGGGTTGAAAAACTGACTTAGTCATAATATTACATTACACTTCAAGTTGTTTGCCAATATACACGATTTACTTGTCGCAGTGGCCAAAGTAGTTATTTGTATGTGAGGTCCCTTGAAGTGTACGAAATCGTGATCATAAACACACGTAGGGTGTCTCTACCAATAAATGCACCACATATCGAAATAGCACCCGTTAGCTCGTAAAACTGACTGAGCAGTGGTTAAAATATGGGTGCACGATACTACCTGGCGTGGAGTTGTAATCAGCACGGATTTGGCGCGACTGTTGGAAGACGTTAAGCACAAAACTGTCCTATATTCCTCTATTGTGCAAACGGGACCATTACCGTCATAAGGTGGCACAGCTCCAATTAAAACGCTTCGGGCACCCGGTAGAATTTACAGGGTGGGGGCACGATAGACACACGCCGAATTGCGTGACACAAGCATTTACAGCACTGAAGTTGGTGCGCGGATATCGCTCTCGTATGCATTCTGATGATCCGGCCACTCTACGAGTAACTATTTCCCAGTTACAAAGGGATGCCAAGCAAACAGCGCTCGATTCAGTTTAACTAGCTGTATTCACAGGTTCCAAGTGTGCAAGAATGTTTGTCGAGCCGTGAGCATTCAACAAGCATTGCCTGCATGTAAGTTGGATGCTTGCCTCCGATGTTACAGTTATGACCAGGTGTCAAAAAATGTTTGGGTGTAAACTATGCCACCGAAATAAGGATAAAGGGACAGCTTGACACACGGATAGATGACCACGCATTCACGGCCCAAGATGTATTTTTAAGACCTGGGTTGTATATTTAGAGCCTGGATTGTATATTTCTATTCCAGGGTGTACATTTATATGAGCACGTATACTTGTGGCGATGCGAGTACTACTCGATTTGACTCCCACAAAGCTCAATCAGCCTACCCCGAAGTACTGCCATTTGGTCATGGAGAATCGACTAGCACTTGGCGACGCTCGAATCGGAGGCGTGGCGAGTGACACTGCAAATGAGGACGAGAAAGTATACTACGGCTTCGGTGTGTTCGTGGGCATGCCACTCGCTGCTCTGAAGGCCATGAAGGACGATTTCGTCGAGCAGCAGGCGCTCTCTGGCGGCCTCCCGCGGGGCGCTCTGCTGTCGTCTGCTGCTATGGACGGCCGGCCGCTCCACGTGGAGGCCGGAGAAAATGGCTGCAATGTACAGGGAAACGTGCACATGGCTCCACTGTTCGTGCAACGGCAGCACCAGCACCAAGAGCCACGTGTTGATAGCTACGAGCACACAGGAAGCCAGCAACGGGAGTATGCAGACGAGCCGAGTGCTGGATTTGGTCAAGGCCTGCTCAATGAAGAGCAAGGCAGTGCTGATAATAATAATGACAATAGTGACGGCTCGGACGAGCTCGGGAACAAGCCGCACTCGCTGAACTTCATTTTGCACTGAGGGGGAGAGACTGGAGCGACGCGAAGGTTTAGCAGGAGAGAGAGAGAGAGAGCAGAGAAAGTTGCGGGGTCGTGTAGATTAAAGAGCTTGTTGGTGCTAAACAATTCGCGTTGCTGCCTGGTACGTACACCACTGTGATTGTCGAGTATTAGGCGCTTATAAAGTGGGCGTGGGCAGCGCCAATCGTCACGTGTGGCACATCAATGTGCAGTTCATGTTTTCTTGTGTTCGAAAGAGACGAAACGCCTAGGTGAAGTACGCATGCGCATGTGTGTGCTTTTCTGAAAGGCCATACCGAGTCCTGATGCGCAGGAGAACAACCAGTTGACGCTCATCACTTGGTACTGAGCGTGACACTTACTTCAATCTGCCACGCTCATGGATCCGTGTGCGTATCATTACTATAACGGTGTGACTCCGTTACATGATATTCTGCACTAGGTGAATAAAAAGTATGAATTTTATGTTGAGACAAACATCATGTTCTCCTAAACTATTTTCACAGGTAATCTTGTAATGCAGAATAATTCACTGTTCATTGGTTGGTAGGGCAATTGTGTAGTGGAGCTACACAGCTCTTTGTCAAAGGAAGACCTACGACTGTGGAAGTCACTTCGTTCTACGGAACGAAGTTCCTATAAGTTTAGAGAGTCTCTGTAAGAAGTAGGAGTTAAGTAAAGTAAATGACTTGTATATTACCGCGCACCAGACGCGTTTCGGCCCCCCGCCGGGGGCCTCATCAGTGGTTTGTCAATCTACAAGTGAGAACTATCCATACGTCTAGCTGCCGTACGACCTATAATAATGCATAGAACCCTAAAGAACATTCTAGACATACCCTATCATGGGTCGAATCTCTGGAGTCGAATCCAGTGCATCATGCACTTACAACAGTCTCTAGTTCTTTCAACTAATAAGCGAAGACTCGCAGAGTTTTCGCGCTTGTAGAGGTTCTAGTTCCAGATCAGGGGGCTAATGTTGATCCCACGAATCGTACGCGCGAGGTGCTCTCGAGTATATACCATCAGAAGTCTCTTGCTCTTAGCGATCTACTGACGTCTTGATTAGACACGTGTCACTCAACGATTACCCTAAAAGGAAGCTGAACTTTTATTTAGGTTTATCTGTGGTAAACCTCAACTGCCCAATACTAAGGTTAAACTAATCCTCACAGTAATTCATAGAATACCAAGAGATTGATGGATGGTACATCGATATGTCATCGATGGATGACGGAGGTTATCAAACACACCAATTATCAGAGATAAAGATTTGAGGACTGTATATCACACATACAAGTTATATCCCTTTAGACCGATAACTGTCGTTTGACCCCGATACACCTTCTCTCACCAGACTGACGTTAGCAAATAACGTCAATAGACTCATTACCTCATCGATACCATTGGTGGGCAGCAAACCTCACGTGTAACGGGGTGAGCCTATTACATGTAATTAACCTTGTACTTGTTAGTACGAATATCACCATAAAGGCTGAAAATGCTCGTGAAAATTACCATAAGGGGTAATTTTCAAAAAGACTCACCGATTGGCTGATACGGGTCATCATATCAGCCAGCTCTAGCGGTCCAATTAACCGATAGACGCGCGCAATGAGTGGTGAGCAAGACTGTGACATTCACTTTTGTGGATAAACATGATTCAATTAGGACTAAAGCATAGGTACATGTAATAAGGACTTAATCATATTTAAGACAGGTTTTACTTTCTACTCGTATTGAACGCGTCGTTCATTAGCTAGCCTTCCTCTGCACGTAAGGTGTACGTGAAGTGACGCGCGGCACTACCTACACTGTTGTAATTGTAGGTGCAATAGCACAAAAGCAGTACATTTTGATCAGTGCCCTGTTACACCTGGTAGCACTTTGTAGTCCGTCCATGGACCGCAACCCCTTCATCCAACATGAACATGCTGGGTGATAATGGTGACAGCTTTTAAGCGTGGCGTGAAAGCTACTCCTCTTTGAGTGACATCGAATGGAGTGCGATCGAACGAATGGGTTTGCCGTGGGCGAATAGCCGTCTCTGCCATGCTGTCTACACTGGACAGATATGGGCAGTATGCTGTCGTCGCTAAGTTCATATACCATAGACTTGACAAGGCACAGAGAATGTAGCTTTTTTTCACCAGCAAGGTCTCAATAGGCTGAGCTGTTGATAAAACATGGGGCTCAACAGTTCGAACTAATGAGACAACAGCAGACTGTTAGCTGTTGTTACGAGGCAATGCGATCGCGTCGACCCGAAACTTTGAGGATTGACATCTAAAAGTACATAGTAGTCGAGCAAAGTCGAGACTTCCTGCTGAGATGGTTCTTTGGTCCATAAGACGCCATAGGGGCTTGTCACATCTTCGATGAGCAAATGCGACTTGCATTTGCTTAGTCGAACCTGGATGGACTTGCCAAAACCTGGGCAGTGGGGTCCAATTTGCACGACCCATATGTGTTTGGGTCGTTGGAGGTCTTCAATACCCGGCTCAGATAAACGTTTGAATCGATAAGGGCTGAGTTCAGGGCTCAGTTAGATCTCCTGAAACTCAATCATGGTAAGCGTGATGTGCACACTTACGCATAACACATACGATTCCTTGCGAGTTGTATCACGTCCAATCCGGTTTATGACCACACATTGATCACTGTATTTATGCAGGATCTTACGGATGGTCCTGTCAAGACTCAATTGTTCTTCTTGGAACTGGATACGCTAGAACAAGCGATATCAGTTGCAGAACAGGAAGAGTTTAGATTGAGACAGGCTCATGCTAGTTCAGGTTCATAAAAGTCTCCTATGACGACAAGCAGTCGAAGGTTCAGAACTTATGGACATCAGTTGTGTTAAGAGCGAGATACCTCGCTCTTCATCCAACAAGAGATTGTGCTTCTGCAATCGCTGTCAGAAGTTGGGACTCTACACTCACGAGTGTAGCGCCCTACGCCCAGTGTCTCGAAACAATGAGCGAACTGTTCGACTATTTGTCAAGGAGGGTAGCGACGTGCGTCCAACGTTGTTGCAAAATCGCAACAGCGTAGAGGACCGAAAAAAAAGGTCAGGATCAGTAGGAGCGGAGCGCCCTGTTGATCCAGCAAGCTCAAGAGAATTTACAAATCTCCTGATGAAAGTTTCTTTAGACTTACAATCAATTTGTGTCTCTGCATTTGGTGATGAGGTACGCCTCATCACTTTGAAGTTAAAAGTGACAGAAGATTTGTCACTACGTGCCCTAGTAGAATGTGGGCCGTCAAACAAATTGCTAGTATATGGTAGGCTCAGTTTTGTTGAGTGCGATACCCCTCCGACGAGGACGACGATGCGCCTAGCAACAGACGCATCGATAACTTTCAATTATTTTTTGGTGGTATTTCATGACGAGCTAGATAATATGCAGTCCAATGACGATTTCATCGTACTTGGTTTGGATGACAAGTTTGATGTAATTCTAGTTTTGCCTTGTTTCAAACGTACGATCTAAGGGCCAGCTAGCAGCATCGAACCGTGGAGATGCCTGCCACTTGTTCATCAGGCGGACATCTGATGAACGCAGTGGAGCTTCCACAAGCGTGTTGGTGTACTGCAAGTGAGTGCGACGGCCTCACTTGCGGTAAGGTCGTAAGTAAGACTGCTCAAGATCACATTGTGACAACCAATCACATTGTAGGGTGAGCTGCCGGCGGCTGTGCGGATGCACAGGCAGCGCCGAAGGTCCACCACTCAAAGAAGTTGAGTGGACCGGATAATGAGCCTACGCCTAGCGGGCGACATCCAAGGAAGATCAAACTGGTTGTTCACCTTGGGTAACACGATGGTCTAGTATCGACTGGGGATTAGATAGTAGAGGACCTAGCTGTGGTAGCGCAACTAAAGCTAGAAGACGCTAAAGAAATAAGTCCCCATGTTCTAGAGGAATAACTTCCTCGAGCAGCTATTGATAAGGTATCAAGACCTCATTAACCTAAGGGAATTAGTCCCCAGCAGCCTGTAGAAAGGTTTCACATAATGAATCCGAGATATTGAATGTCTTGATTAATGACGGGTCAAGTGTAGGCACTTATACACTTGATCTGATTGCGCCTCCGAAGTTGACTTCGGAGATCACACAACTTCCAACGCTAGAACCGAAACGGTTCTTGCGAGAATTGCGTAGCTTCAAAGTCAAGCAGATCTGTGTTCTCCTCACGGATGACGATAACGTGACGGACATCTGATTGGCAGTTGTATTTACCGAGAACAAATGGGCTCTTAGCAGATCATCGATGGACGAAGGTGTTCGCGATGAGAAGACTCGGATTGAGCGATACACGTCTCAATATTGGCATTTACTTCAGTCAAATCCTTTACACAAGGATTTGATCAAATTCAAGGACGTGTTATCTGAATTTGTGACATGCGAGTTGCCCAAGATCAAATGCATTCGACGAGAAGTTGAGCTTGAAACGGGCTTGAAGCACTGTGTCATGAAGCAGTGTTCACTGCTTCGTGAACAATTACTAGCGATAAAGTAGGTCTTAGCCGATCGCTTTGCAGCGGGACGTGTGAGAAAATCAATACCCCCTCACAGATTTTGACCTTTTGTGTGCGAAAGAACACAGGGTATTGCGGATAGTGCACGCATGCAACAAGTTGAATGCTGCAACGGTACCCGCTCAGACGCCGATACTGATGAAGGACGTATTAAACGATGGTATATCAAAAAGAAATATCTTCTCGTCCATGGATACGGTGGATGGATTCTATTAGATTCGAATTATTGAACGGAGCGTCCCGTACGCAGCAGTGAGCACCCTCAATGGTATGCTTTGGGAGTTTCTAGTGATGCCACCGGAGCTGATTAACTACTCTACAACGTTCAACATATGTGCAAGCACTATGTTGAGAACGGTGCGAGATTTTTCGCACCGAGCTTCTTTGACGATATCTTCGTCCATAGCCAAGCTATGGATGGAAAGACAGACATGGTGGCTCACGTAAAACACGTTCGT